TTGTTAGCAGCTATTATGATAGCATATATAAATGATCCCAAAAATTCCACCTGGGAGATGTTACATCCTATAAACACTTTAGCAAAGTAGCTGGCTACAAAATTGCCTAAAAAATTAGTAGCCTTCCTAGATACAAAGGACAAATGACCTGAGGAAGAAATCAGGGAAAAACATCTTTCACAATAGCCTCAAAAGTGTAAATATCTTAGGGTGACTGTAACCAAGCAAATGAAAGACATGATAAAAACTTCAAGTCTTTGAAGAAAGAATTGAAGAAGTTATCAGAAGATGGAAAGATTTCCCATGCTCATAGACAAGGATTAACATAGCTGAGTTTGGAAAAAAAATCTATCTACATAGTCAGTGCAATCCCATCGAAATTCTAACACGGCTCTTGAAATAACTTGATTCTCTGCTTCATATAGGAAAAAAATAACAAGATAGCTAAACAAACTTGAAAAATGAAAGAACTTCTTGAGGTTCCACTATTACTGATTTCAAGTTATACTGTAAAGTGATAGTAATAGAAACTGCATAATATTGACATAAAACAGACTCATTGATCAATGGAATCAAGTTGGAAACTCAGACATAAATTCACACCCTTACGGACACCTAATTTTTGATGAAAAAGCCAGAAATACACACTGAAAAATGCAGCATCTTCATTAAATGATGTTAGTCAAACAGGATGTCTGCATGCAAAATACTAAAAGATCTATACCTATTACCCTGCACAAAACTTAATTCCAAATGGATCAAAGACTTAAAAATAAAATCAGGTACACTTAAACTGCTGGAAGAGAAAGTGGGTAATAACTTTAGACTCATTGGTACAATAAAAGACTTCAGAAAAGAACACACATTACCACAGGCAATTAGATCAATAATTAATAAACAGAACATTATATAACTGAAAGGCTTTTATAAGGCAAACACTACTGACATTCAGACAAAGCAGCAGCCTACAGAAGGGGAAAATATTTTTACCATCTTCATCTCTAATAGAGTACTAATGTCCAAAATATATAAAGAACACAAAATCTTGATATGAAAAAAACAAATAATCCAATTAAAAACTGGGAGATAGATCAAAACAGAAATCAATATAGGAAACCCCAATGGCTGTTAAACACTTAAATGTTCAACATTCTTATTATCAAGGAAATGCAAATCAAAACTACTTGGAGATTCTGTCTTACATCAATCAGATTGGCTGAGATTAGTAACACAAGTGTCATCTCATGCTAGTGAGAATGTGGAAAATGGTCAACACCCATTTTTTGTTCATGGGAGTACAAACTGGTATAGCCATTACAGAAATAAGTATGGGCAGATTGTTCAGAAAGATGAGATTTGATCTTGCTCAAGATTCAGATATAACATTCTTGAACATTATACCCAAAGGATGCTTCATCTTACCACAAGAACATTTTCTCAACCATATTCACTGCTGCTCTATTCATTATAAACAGAAATTAGAAATAACCTAGATGAATCTCAACATAAGAGTTAACAAAGAAAATTTGGTATGTTTACATAATGGAATATTACTTGGTTTTTAAAAAAGGACATTATGAAATTTACAGACAATGAACAGAACTAGAGAAAATTTATTCTGAGTGAAGTAACCCAGATCCAGAAAGATAAATAAGTGTGTAATTACTTTTATGTGGATATTAGCCATTGAATGAATTATAAGCAAGCTATATTCTATATACCTAGAAAAATTAGGTATAGAACAAAGGACTGAGGTTGACCCTCATATCTCTTTGGGGGTGGAAAAAAGTATAGATTTTATCAGTGGTCAGGGCAGGGGGCATGGGAACAGGAGGATCAGTTGGGGACAGTAGGAGAGATAAAGATGAGTGAGCAAATGAGGGGAGAGAGAGCTAGAATGGAGGGTTTGTATGGAAATATAATACAGGGGCAACTTTCTAAAATATATGAAGGCCATTCTGATAAAATCTTCAATAATGGCCATCTCTTGTCACCAAACTAAATTTCCAGTACTAGGACAGGTTTAGATCCAATTGAGTTGTTGCCAAAGGGATTCCAGGAAAAACTCCAAACAACCCAGGCTGTTGCTAATAAAATATGTTGCTCTCCACAAACTGACAGCAAGGTGCCATTGCTGAATACCCACACAACTCATTGAATGAATGCTGAGAGGTCACCTTGGCATCTACATAGAATCTTCACCTCTACCTCTACTGTCTTTGGTACATTAAAGTACCCTTCAGGCAGGCTACCAAAAGAGAAACATAAACACCAACCCATCCATAAAACTTTTAGTTTACTATGTTGTCCTGACTACAAAATATGTTAGGATAATGGTGGCACAAAGGTGCGGGGTTAACCAACTAATGTCTGGTTTGACTTAAGGCCTATTCCATGAGACAGAACTCATACCTGACACTGCTTGAGTAACCAAGAACTAGAGAATAGATAGTCCAGAAACCTAGAGTAATAAAATACTACTGGTCTTTAAAAATTAATAATAAAATGATTCTTAATGATATTCTGTTATACTGATCGATGAGTGCCTTTTTCAGTCATCATCAGAAAGTCTTCCTCCAGCAGCAAATGGCAACAGACATGACACCCACATCCAGACCTTATACAGACAGAGACATCAGAACACACAGCCCTAAATGGGATGTCTCTATCAAATCCCTCCCCTCATAGCTCACAGAACTCCATGGGAGAGGAGGAGAAAATAGTGTAAGAAACAGAGAGGACACAAGACACCAGGAGAACAGGACCTTCTAAATATCCTCAGTAAAAATCTTATAAAATTAGAGGATGGCCAGGCAGTGGTGGCGCATGCCTTTAATCCCAGCACTCGGGAGGCAGAGGCAGGTGGATCTCTGTGAGTTCGAGCCTCAAAAACAATACAGAGACGCCCTGTCTCGTAAAAACAAAACAAAAATTAGAGGATGAAGCAGCAAGGGTCTGCATGGGTCTGCTCTAGGCCCTCTGTGTATGCATTTTAGCTTTCAGTTGAATATTTTATTGAGGCTCTCATTCTTCTGCTTTCTCTTTTGCTCTTTTCCTTCTGTTGGCTTGACTTGTACAACTTCAATATGATGCATTTTTTTGTTTTATCTCGTGTTTTATTTATTTTACATTTTTTATCTCTTGGAAGTCCATTCTTTCCTGTGAGAGACAAAAGGGGGTGAATTTGGATGGGAGGGGAGGTAGGGAGGAACTGGGATGAGAAGAGAGAGGAGAAACTCTAATCAGAATCTAATTTCAACAGAAGGGGAAAAAGAAAAACAAACAGTTATCTGTAAGAACAGTGTGCTTTGCACACTTTAAATTTATCTGGTCACATCACATCCTCCATTCAGCCCTGAACTATGCTTGAAAACTATGAAGACTCTAACCATTTGTTCTCATTAACATTGGTACTTTGTAGAAGCAGGAAGTAAGGGCTGGGAAAAAATTCCCAGATGTGAGGTTGAATGCAGAAGGCGTGTCCTAGCATGCGCACAGAACCTGTTGGCCAAGATAGCAGTCCGTAGCTGCAGAGGTGTAAGGAAAAGATTTTTGATCACTAATTGACCATCAAACTAACACAGGGTGAGAGTGACTCCTAATAGGAATAGAAATTACTCCAGGATTGAAGAAATCCTTCTAAAGTGAAATACCTGTGGAGGGGGGTCACCGAACTCTATGTGTATATTAAGTACTACAAAATTTAAAATGGTAAAGCCAATGACATAGGAATTCTATTTCTATTGAGAAAAGAACATGAGGCAATAGTAAAAAAATGAGGAAACAACAGTGGGCCTTGGAAAACAATGTGGATTTCTTTTAAATGGTAAAACTGGAGGAATTTTAGCATTTCTTTATTCTATCTTCATAGACTAAATGGATAATTAGTGACATCTGCTTCAAAATGATTGAATAAAAACAGAACGGTAATAAACCCCTGTAAAAAATTGCCCTTTTGTTTCCTTTGTAACTTGGAATCAGTTCAAAGAGCCACGATAGTTAGTATTCAATGGCATCTGCTATCTGAATGCTAGTAAAAATAAACATGTTTTCAATGGAAGTGATCTTCTAAGAAAATATATTATTTTCAGCTTATACATAAAGATCCTAGAAACATATAGATTACCTTATATACCTTATATATATATAGAAGATCTAGTCAGTTCAAAAGTGAGATCTTAAATTAACATACTTTGAATCTGATTATTTCTCTGCCTATTTCCAGAGGCCTTTCCTCAGGAGTTACACCCACTAACACAGGAATGCAATGAGTACCCAGATTATGACACATCACAGCCAATGTGATATATCTGTTAACACATGAATGTTTTAGAATTTGTACAATGGTAAAATGTACAGATAATGGATGTGGAAGACTCCACATATCACAATGAGATAAACACAGGCGATCCCTCTGTTTAATTTCTATGTAATTAATTTTGGAAAAGTATAAACGATGGTGCTTCATATAAAAATAAAAGTCAGAAAAAATATGCGTCTTTACCATCAAGGACATTAGAGCTACTAGTCAAGTAACAGCTATGCTCTTTCTTCTTCTCCTGATACCTGAAAGCTGAATTTCTGCTTAGACACTTTTAAACATTAGAACTTTAGAGCCAGTGTTCAGTGGCCTTCAATCCTTTCTTCTAGGAAATAGATTTGCATTTTGGAAGACAGAAGAGTTGAGACCATAAGGAATCATTGCTCTACCAACTATAGGATAAACATAATTTCGGATGTTAGTCTTGGAAGTTTCTCTAGTCAGTTTTGCTCACCATGCTCCATCCAAACAGAAGAAACAGATGCCAAGTCTCTCCTGGGAAGTTAGCTCTTGATTCTTAACCTGCCATAGCCAACCCAGGATCACCTTCAATAGTTGGTATCTGATAAAAAGATATTTTAACTAAAATCAAACGAAGAGGGTTTTTCATGGGTTTTCCTTGAAATTTCCAGATGGGTTAAAATGCAGAGAATTTCATAGTTGCTAACCTCCTCTTGACATTAGTTTTGTTATCCTGAATCAAGGACTTTTCCTGCTCCAGTAGAGCCCTTACCATCATCTTCTCCTCAAAATTTTCAATTCAGGGGAAGTGTTCTCCCAATGCTGATTCTGTGTGAACTCCCATGTCTTTGCACTCCTTTGTTGTCACTGTTCCCTTTGCTTTGCTTGATCTGCTTTCTTTCCAGTGTCCTAACCATTATTTTCACCTGTTGACTCTCATAAAAATCAGTATTCCAGAAATAGTGACATGTCAGCTTTGCTGTGTGATGGCTAAGGATACCCATGTGTTTTTATTTAAAAATATGACTCTAACTGGAGAAGTAAATAAAAGAGTGATGAAAGATAACTTTGTAAAGTACTTGGAATATTAATAGCTTCCCATACAAGTTGCCACATAGGAAATCATACAACAAGCAAATAGTTGTGGACAAAGCAACTGTTGAACTTTATGAAAAACTAAGCAAGTAATAGATTCAGGAAAGAGTTTCTCTGAGGCTTAGAGAAGGGTATGTAGCGTTCTATAAAGTTGATATCTGAAGTGTCAGGAACCTAAAAGTAAAAAGAAAGAGGAAAAACCAAATCCTTATGTCACAAACCACTGTTGGAAAGTGAAGAGATACCAACATTCACAATTACTCTTACAACAATAGAGTTCATCTTAACTATTTTCCCACAAATATCATATAGTAGAGTAATGTAGTTTAGAAATTCTAAAAAGTTTAAGACAGAAACTGCCCAGTGTCAAATAACACTTATCATTCAATAGAAAATTGGTTTGTGAATAATACCTGAATGACAGATGCATACATCAAGAATCAACTGCTTCTAGAAATAACAGAGAAAAACATTAAGAATGACTTCATATAAAGATTTTCTGGGGCAACAAAAGGTAGATACCAGAGTCCCATGCCAACTAACAGTCAGACTTGGAGATGCAGGTATCTCATTTCCCAAGCAAACCTCGTAGAATGTGACATTACTACTCTAAGATCAATTGGAAGATTTTTCTGCCTGTAAACAGACTCAGCGCTTACAGTCAGTCTATCACTTGAACTGAGTTGTGCACTCGATGCCTTTTTACTTACAAACCAGTGGCATTAAATCACCATGCAGGCTAGTTGTACAACCATCTTGACCTTACTATTATGCTCTGACCATTCTGGTCTTAATGGGTGGTTGGATTCTATCATGTACATGTTAAAATCCCTCTAACATTTAAAACAGTTTAAGATTAAGGAAACCTGGGAAAACATATTAAATAGGCTTCAAAATTATGATAATTTACGTTTAAAATAGCCAACATTCTGTCATCTATCTTCCTTTTAAAATATTTCACAAAAAGTGGGCTAGAGAGATGGCTCTATGGTTAAGATCACCTGTTGCTGTTACAGAGGACCTGAGGCTGATTCACAGCATCCACATAGCAGGGAGCTCTTAACAATATGTAACTCCAGTCTCAGGGAATCTGCCCATCATCATTCTGAATACATGGGCACCAGGAATGCATATGCTTCATGTATACATATAGACAAAACAGTTATATACATAAAATAAATAAATCTAAAAGTAATTTTAAGGAATTTAATAAAGGAAGCTAATGAAAACTCAGTCCAAACTTAAAAGTGCTAACACTTCCCAATGCAGAGGGGACTTTCCTTAAGGAACACTGTTGTCTTTAGTTCAAAATATGCTAAAATTTGTCTCAGTAGAAGAAAGTAATTTTACCAGCAGCCTTTTAAATTATCTGCTACAATATGACAGTGTCAGTTTTCTCACTTATATTTACTTACAATTTATTGGAAAAGCATTTTAGTAACAATAGAAGACATATTGTAAAGGTATTTCAGCCATAATTTTCCTTGTTAAGTTTCCAATGACAATCATCAACTTTTCACTGAAAGATAGAATACAAGAGAGAGTGAATAAAAGTAAGAAAATGTATGTATTATTCACTTTTGAGAAATATTTCTCAAGCTTATACCTTTTAAAATAATTATGCAATATCTTTTTTAAACAAGGCTTTAAATTTTCATGTAAGAGTACACACTGTGTCGGGTCTTGTTTCAGTAAGAAGGGTTTACTAGTGGAAAATAACATTAAGATCTCTCATGTAGGAGACATAGGTACACTTATTGTCTTTAGCAACTGCATTCTATATCATGTGAACATATTTCTAAGTAGCTGTTGCTATGGGTGTCCATTTCAATATCTAGACTGCTTCTGTATGCATCTGAGCTAAAATAACATTTTCATTTCATATGCATTTATGTATTGATTTGTGTGTGTGTGTGTTATGATGGCTATGTTTGTTGTGCAGATTTCATAATTGAATTGTATATGTGTGCATGAGGGTGCATGTCACGTGTGGACGTCTACATGTAATGGACAGGAATTGGTTTTAGATGTCTTTCGTCAAATTGTTCTTCACCTGACTTTTGGAGACAGGATGTCTCATGAATGTGAAGCTCATGGATTTGTGAAGGCTGACCAGGCAATAAATTCACGAATTGTCCTATCTCTACCATCTGCCACAGCCAGTCTTGGGGTCCAAAAATTATTTGGCTGCTGGAGATCCATATTCTGGTCCTCATTCTTGTTGTGAGAGCACTTTACCCACTGAATCATCTCTCCATCCCTGAAATCTAACTTTTAAATTTGGATATATGCTGCAAAACAACTCCAAAAAGTAGTTTTCACTCTCATTTGTTTTTGCCAATAACATCTCATAATTTTTGCCAATGCCGTCAACTACAATGGTATTATCATCCTTTTAAAATTGTCATTATTAGATTTCCTGATATCAAGAAGGAAAGAAAGATGTGTATAGGGGGCCTGTCATCCTAGCACTGAGGCCAGCCACAGAGTTTAAGAGACCCATCCAGATGTGATCTTGGACAAAAATGAAAGTGTGATGAAATCTACTACACTTTGCAAGCATTTGTGAAAACCGCTAAGCCTGGTTTCATGAGTCTGAACCCAACACCTTTCCTATAAGATAATTCCATCTTTGCTTCACCCTTCATAATTCTCAATCTCCAAGAGCTATAACTAACAACCCACTCTGTAGTGTAAACTTTAAAATCATCCACCAACTTATGAAACTTCAGAGCATATTTTCAAAGCTGCTTGATTTTTTGGCATCTCCCATATTGCATCCCCAATAATCCTCAAGTGAATATTAATTTCCTTTGTTCATCACTAAGCTGATTTCATCTCAATCAACTTAATGTTTTACTTCTTTTTAGAAAACTCTGACAAAAATATCTTTCTGCATTTCTAAACTACAGAAGGGAACTTTTAAGTCTCTAAGGTATTTAAATGAGTGTTACTGTGTAGCCATCAGACTATATGTCCATGAAATAAATGTTGGTAGTAAAAGGATGATAGACATAGGAACACAAATTAATGTGTGAGTAATGCAGATGTTTTAGATTGCCTTGAAACTGGAAGACAGGGCTATTTCAATGGCCATATTAATAACCTGCATTCATTCTATTAAAGAAGCAAATGTAATGTGATATTACATATTCAAGAGACTCTATAAGAATGTGGTTGTTTAACTTGGGCATCTCTGTTATTCTTCAAAGTTCTATTTACCATATTCACATAAAAAAGCAAGAAAAGAAGGAGGCATGGAGTGGGGCACAATGTTGGCAAATATCTCTGAAGTATTAAAGTATACAAAGTACTTAAAAATACTTTAAGGAATAGCAATCTAGTTTATATTCAATTTATTTCATTTCCCTACAAAGCCCCGAGGAACATATTCCATTTGTTGCACAAAAGCCAATTACAGTAATGGCCTGTTCCTAAGAGTTTCCAGATTCCCGAATTAGTTCTTACTATTTAACAGTACATTTTCGAATGGCTGTGAAGCTAATCATTTCTAATTCTCCAGTAACTATGTTTATGGGATTGGCAGAAAAACTATGCCATTCTCTTAGTGTTCAGTGTAGACCAACATGAATGAACTCATAGGAAAGGAGAACAAAAAGACCATGGATACAGAAGTGAAAAGACCCATTCCAGGTAAGGAGGTTTCCGATGGAGATATAAATAATTCAAATGCGTTGAAAACACTCCCATTGGAAGAACAACTCCACTTCCAGTTCATTCACATCATCAAGAAAACACAGCCCAGTCAGCTTTGGGGTTAAGGGCTCCCTTTTTAACGTTAATGATGCTCAGGTAGAACTTCAGGGTGTTAAGCGGGGTGTTGTTGATGGAAAAGAATGGTAGATGCCAGGGAGTCTGTCCCAACTCTGGCTCTCTGAGCTCCATAGAGAGGCAGTTCTACATACCTGGAAAAATTGTTCCATTTTCTAGCTTCTGTTCTCTCTGTATATGGAATAATCTAAGTTTTCTTAACTTTTTAAAGAGATCAAAGATAAATTGAATAAGTATATGTCTTAGTGAATGTTTGTCCTTTATTTTTCTTTTCCTCATATTTGGGACCCTTAAGTCTAATATAAAGTTTTTTTTTTCTTTTCGGCTTAGTGATTTCCCATCCTGTTGTGTGTGCTATAGTTTCTCCTGTATAAATTTTATCATAATTATCATTTCAGGTATTTCTTTGGTCCTGATGTTTGCTTAAATCTCCAGGTATTTCTCAGTAGGGCCACTATTTGCACAGAGGTGGGGTAGTATCACTATGTTTATTTTTGAAAATAATTTCTAAATGCTACCTTCTACAGGACAAGTATGAAGTCATTTGTTGTGTAAACCTAAACAATCAGTGAACATTTCTCATTCCAGTCACATCTCTGGCTACCCTATTAAGAACTCCCAGACTTTAAGAAAGCTTGAAAAGAGCCAGCCCTGTCTACATTGGCTATGATTTCACCTTAACCGAATGAACATATTTATTAAATAGCTTTACCAAACTAAATTCAGCCTGAGGTTTATTTGGAGTGTATCTCTGTCTCCATTTATTAATATAAACAAAGTTTGGTCCTGGAAGCCAGTAGGTATATGAATATGCATGTATCATCAACACTTAATGACATTGTAATTTAAATAGCTTTGATAATGCAAATAAATAATAATAAACTAAATAAGTAAGAAATGGTGTTTATAAATTACAGGTCTGTTGACTTCAGAAAGGCACTGTTACTTATAGGTTTTTATTTTGTGCATGATCCAAACTTAGTCAGATACTTCTTTTATCCAAAATTTCAAAGCATCTTAGATTTTCAACCAAAATTGAAATTATATACTGAGATTTTGTTGGTTGCAATACAATAATTTTAGAGGAACTTTGAAGTTCAAAATCTACATTCCTACATCAATATCTTCACTTAAAATGATAACCTGTCATTGGTGAGTAAAGTGCTATACACTAACTAGATTTTCAACATGCACATGTTACATGTATTTTGTGGTGTTGAGCTTACAGAAAGTTTAGATTCATTTAATGTATATTTTAAAACAAATATGATGACAATTAAAAATATGTAAACAAAGGTATTGCATTTGTTATAGACTGTCTCGCCATTACATCCATCAGTGTGTGTGGAGGGTGTCTGTGGGGGTGTGATAAATTGTTCTTTCTCTGTAAAAGATTGCATAAGCATTTTATAGCAGAATATGTTGTTTAGGATAATCTAAAGCCATGTGTCTGGGACACGGCTATTTACATGGGCTCAGAATAAATTATTTTCATATCCTTTCGATAAACAGTTGATATCCTATATGGGCACAAAATAATTATAACATGGTAGGATCATGAGTTTTACTTGTCAACTTAATACAATTAGTATTACTTGAGAAGGCAGTCTCAAAAAGTGACTGACAGGATCAGCTATATCTAACGGGGACTGGTTTCATCATCTTTATTGATGTGGGAGAGTCCAGATCACTATAGGCAGCACCATTTCCTGGCATGAGGATCCTGGACTGCGTGTTTGTAGAGAGGGGCATAAGCATTGGATAACACATGTAAGCATCCATTCTTTCTTTCATCAATTGTGGGTATGGACAATTTGTTTCAAGTTCTTAACTCAACTTCCCTGGAATTATGGACGACAAACTGAAGTGTAAGCAGAATACCTATTTTATCACTTAACATGTCTTTTGTTTGGGTACTTTATAAAAACAATGGAAAAGCCCGACTTCCACCTAACTACTCTAGGATCTCCTGGTCTGGGGACTGCAGGCAGGTCGACTCACACCCAGCAGACCAAACAACTGAGTCTGCTGATATTGCTGTGCTAATTCCGCACCCACTCAGGGAAGAGGTGAGCTTGGACCCTGTCTCAGGCCCGACTTTTGCTTACCCACACTGGGATCTCCTGGCCTGAGGACAGCAGGCAGATAGACTTGCCCCAACTGCGAACCAAGCAACCATAATTCTGACATCCCTGTGCTAGTCCTCCTCCCGTACACCAGGGTAGGGAGTACCTCAGACCCGCCTGCACCCACCATGAGACCCATCAGAGTATTGGACCTGCTTGCACCCACCAGAAGACAACCTTGGACATGTACCCACCTGAAGAAGAAGAGACCCCCACCTGCATCTACTGGAAGAAGGGATGGGAAGAGAACAATATAAGAACACATTCAACAACAGGAAAACCACTATGACACCACCATAGTCTAGGGACTCTACATCAGTAAGACCTGAACATGCCAACATAGATGAAGCAGAAGAAAACAATCTAAAAAAAAAAAACAACTTCATGAAGATGATAGAGACCCTAAAAGATGAAATGATAAAATCCTTTAAAGAAATGGAAGAAAAGACAAACTAAAAATTTTAAGAACAATTCAAACAGTGTAAGGTTTGAAAGCTGGAGTCTTATGGAATGTGGGAGTTAGAAAAGATGGATAAACAATTAGAAACAACAGATGCAAACATAATCAACAGAATACAAGAGATGGAAGAGAATGAT